AATTCCCCCCCTCTGGATTTGGGGGTGCTGCTCTGGACACCCCCCTGCTAAACCAGGGCCTCCCCCCACCCGATTTTGGGGTGTTCCCCCCTGAGTTTGGGGGTGCTGCTCTCCGCGCCCGGCCTGGGCGTCGTTAGGTGCGGATTAACGACCCGCAGCGGTGGCTTAATGAGCTCTGGGGGCTTAACGAGCACCCAGGGCCCCACTGCACCCCCTTTTCCCTCTCCTTTCCCCCCTTTTCACCCCAATTTGTCTCTGGGGGGGGGCAGAGCTGCCGCTGCCCCTGCAAAGGGCCAAATTCCCCCCTCCGCTCCCTCTCTTCACCTTTTCCTCCTGTTTTGGCCCCGTTTTTCTGTGCCAGGGCAGGGCAGGGTCCCTCCAACCCGCAAGGGGGGGACCCTCACCCCTCAGGGACCCCTACTCTGGGGGGGTCCCCATCTCTGGGGGGGTCCCCAACCCCGGGGGGGTCCCTGTGTCCTCAGGGATCCCTCCCCTTCCGGGGGTCCCTCACCCCGGGGGGGCCCTCCCGAGTCCCAGGACCGGGGGCAGGGGGGCACCCTCCGGCCCCCCAGGTTTTGGGGGTCACACCTCCGCCCTCCCCACACACACAGCCCCAGGTTTTGGGGGTCTCCCAGGTTTGGGGGGGGCGCAGGCCCCCCGCGCTAACCCAGCCTTGCTCCTGCAGCGCCCCGGGCCGAGGCCGCTCCCCCGCTGCGGCGTCGTTAGCGCTGGTTTGGGGGGGAATTAATTAATGAATTAACGATTAATCACGAGCGGGGACAGTGACGTCGCAGTTCCACCGAGGACCCGGCTGCTGCCAACCCCGAAAAGTCGCTTTTTCCCCCCAAACCGGGGGCAGGTTCGACTGTCGCCCGCGCCGGCTGTTTTTGGAGGATCCGCCTTAATCTCTTCCCTTCTTGCAGCCGCTGCCAAAATTCGCTATTTTGGGGGGGGAGGGGAGCCAAGGGCCGATTTAACCAAACCCGAGCGATTCTGACTCTTTTTTTTTTTTTTCCTTCCTCGCTGATAATTCTGATTTTTAATCATAATCTGATTTTCTCACCCCGACACGGCTCAGCTCAAGCGACCTTGACTCTTCCCTCCGGGGCTGCCAAAGCCGCGCGGCCCCCCCAGACAGGGACCTTTTCCTCCTAGAAACCGGGAAATTGGGCAAAACCGGGGAGAACCGGGCACAACCTGGGAGAAAAGGAGCAGGAACGGGGCAGAGCCAGGGAGAAACAACAAAACCGGGGACAAAGGGGCCAAACCCTGACCCAGCAAAGGCCAAACCGCAGAGAAACGGGCAGAGAGGGAGGGGGAGGGGAGGGCTGTGCTCTGCTGGCCTTAATTGGGCACTAATTAATGCTCCCCCCCCCCCCAGTTATCCCCTCCTGGGGGTGGTGGGGGCAGTGGCACGGGCAGGCGATGGGGGCAGGGTTGTGGTGGTTTGGGGAGGGGGGCTCTGGGGGGTGCCCCCCCCCCCCC